TGACATCCAGCTAGAACGGGGTTATGATTATAAATCAATTTTTTTGGTCTTGAGTAGATGAAACGGGTGAGTGCTTGAGCGAGTTGAATGGGGAGTGGTTGAGTTGGATGGGTGAGGGTCTGGAATGTTGTTCAAATGACATTGTGACATCCAGCTAGAACGGGGTTATGATTATAAATCAATTTTTTTGGTCTTGAGTAGATGAAACGGGTGAGTGCTTGAGCGAGTTGAATGGGGAGTGGTTGAGTTGGATGGGTGAGGGTCTGGAATGTTGTTCAAATGACATTGTGACATCCAGCTAGAACGGGGTTATGATTATAAATCAATTTTTTTGGTCTTGAGTAGATGAAACGGGCGAGTGCTTGAGCGAGTTGAATGGGGAGAGGTTGAGTTGGGTGAGTGAGCGTCTGGAATGTTGTTCAAATCATAGTGTGACATCCAGTTTGAACTATACTATTGATAAAAAGCTTTCTTTTAAATGAAATCCTCATTTTTCTGCTGGTTAAACGATTCACTTCGATTATTATTTCAATTTTTAATGATTTTCGATTTTTTGTAAGTTTGCAAGTTTCTTTTTAAATGAATTTTTTCAAATTCAAATCTAAGCGAAGTCTAAATCTTTGCTTAGATTTAAATTTGTTTAATCACAAAGAGAACATTCAAATTCCTCAACCATTTAAAGTATTAGGTTGGTGCAGATGAAACTTCCGTTGGAACCATAAACAAAATTTATTATAAAAATCCTAATACAGAACCTCAATCCAAAAGATATTCGCCATCATTATCAATGACTCTTTGCCATCTTCCACGCAGAGAATGGATGCCCTTTTCGAAGAACTCGGGCAACTGCGACTCGAAGAAGTTGGACACCCAGATTTCAACTTCTTCGCGGTTTTTGAATTATTTTTTCTGCTAGAGAGTGCTGCATCGACCGAAACAAGTGGTAGTCGGATGGGGCCAAATCCGGGCTATATGGCGGATGAGGCAGAACTTCCCAGCCCAATTCCTCGATTTTCTGCTGGGTGATCTTTGCGGTGTGGGGTCGAGCGTTATCGTGGAGGAATTTTGTAGTCGCCGTGTTATTGCCTTGACGACGCAATGCCTGGTCCACGCGGCTCAATTAGGTTTTGTAGAGATCCGCCGTGACTCTTTGGCCCGAATCCAGCACCTCAAAATACACGAGACCTTTACTATTCCACCAAATACAAAGCATCACCTTTTTTCCGTGGACATTCGGTTTGGGAGTCGGTTTTGGCGGTTCACCGGCGTCCAACCACTGCCGTTTTCTTGTTGTGTTGTCGTAACATATCCACTTTTCATCTGCCGTAACAATGGAGTCGAGAAAACCGGCGGTCTTTGCGCGGCGGACGAGAATTCCAGCCATTGTAGCTCGAGTCGCTTTGTTTGCGTCGCTGAGCTGATGTGGCACCCATTTTCCACACCGATTCGTCTTACCAATTGCGTGCAAATGGCGGAGAATGGTTGTATGGTCGCAGTCAAACAGCTCTGCAAGCTCCCGAGTTGTTTGGCATGGATCCGATTCGATAGCGTTCTTCAACTCATCGTTGTCGACAATTTAAGGTGGATTCCCGCGTTTTTCGTCTTCCAAACTCTCATCACCGTCTCGGAAGCGCTGAAACCAAGTCCGGCATTGACGTTCGGACAACACGTCATCGCCGAATGCTTTGCACAGAGCACGATGGGATTCCGTAGGCGTTCTGCCTTGTTTAAAATCATACAACAAGCAAACCCGCACTCGAAATTTTTCCTCAATCATTTTCTAGAAGCTAAAAATTACTTCAAATTAAGTAAAACGCATAAGTCTTAGATATCAAAAGACGCGCAAAGAGACGCTCTTTCAGATAGACAAATATCTTCAATAAAAACTTTTATTAGGTTCAAAATGTAAACAAACAAGTGTGACGGAAGTTTCATCTGCACCAACCTAATAAATAATGCTAAAGTCGAATAATTGAACCGGATTTTTTTTTTTGCGCTTGGAAATCGGTATTTATTTTTTGATCGAGTCACAGTGTGACATCCAGCTTGCGGAAATCTCTAGGTATTTTCGTCTCCCCGTCGGTGATTCTCTCGCATTCCGGCTCGGTTGGGGTCTCGTTGCTGGTGTGGGGCTTTTCAGCGGTCATTGCGAGTTTCGGTGAGTTTCCTAGGGGAGTTGAACGAGTCTTTTGCAATTTTAAAATCTCCAAAATCCCAGGTGCTCTTTGTTATATCGAGTTGGGGACATCGATTCGGCGATCGGGTTGCGATTTCGCTTATTTGAGTCACGCTGGGTGGTGAGTGTTTACTTTTTGAATAAATGAAAAGATATTAAAGATATTAGGCAGATAAATGATATTAGATAAAGGTAGATAAAAGATATTATATAAATGATATTATATAAAAGATATTGTATAAAAGATATTATATAAAAGATATTGTATAAATGATATTATATAAATGATATTATATATATAAATACTTTATTCAGAAAGAAATAAAGTGCGAAAAATGTACTAGATAAAAGATCACAAAGTCACTTAAAATGCAAGGAAATAAAATAGCCCTTTTAAAATCAGACACGGTGGAGATCAAAGGCAACTTGTTGGGAAGGGCATTCCAAACTTTAGTCACACGATTTACGAAAAAAGCTCTAGAGGATTTAGAGAAAGCAGATTCGGGATGCAAGATAAAAGAGCCACGCCTAGTCGCCAAAAGCCTCGAGTTTAGTCGAAAAAGATTTTTAAAAAGAGGGTTTTGATGTTTTCCTTTTACAATTTTAAAGCACTCAACCAAATCTATGATAAGACGGCGTTGTTCTAAGGTTTCAAGTGAGAAAAGTTTCAATCTATGTTTATACCTGACGGATATAAATGATATTATATAGAAGATATTATATAGAAGATATTATATAGAAGATATTATATAAATGATATTATATAAATGATATTATATAAAAGATAAATAATAAAAGATAGTCTATTTATAAATTCATTAAAAATCTGAGTAAAACTCTATGTAAAAATCTATGCAAAAATCTATGTGAAAATCTATATAAAAATCTAAGTAAAAATCATAAAAATCAGTTAAATAGACAAGAAAACACGGTTTTAAGCAAAACGTTAATCTTGCGGAATTAAACCGAATCGCTGTGACCGAATGGCGCTTCGGGGCCGATTTTCTTCGCTTGATTTGGAGTTAGCTTGATTTGGCCTGAAAGTTTAGCCCCTAAAAGGTCTCCTGAACCTGGTTTAGCCCCTTAAAAAGTCTATTGAACCTCTTGGGTTAGTGAATTGTAAACTGCCACTGCGCTGCTTAGCTAGGGATTGAAGGGGGAGAGAGAAAGGTTATAAGGATTCCGAAAATCGATCTAAACTTTAATGCCAGATATCTCGCGTTACAGAGCTCCTTTACGAAAAATTAAAAGCATATTCAGAATCAGCATAAACGATTCTATAAAGTCCCGGTGGTTGTCGTGTTAAAATGTCAACTTGTGCCAACCAAAATCCCCTATTCCCTTTTCCTAGTAATTACTGTAGACTGTGGGTACTGTAGACATTTGGGTACTGTAGACTTAATGAAATAAATACCGTCAATCGATTCGCTGACGCTGAAAACCAGTGAGTACAAATTCAGAGCAGAAATCCATCTAGACGTTTATGTTCTTTGTGCGCGCGCAAAATCGCTCACCGTCTGGCACACGTTCCTAGTAGATACCTCTCCTTTCAGGGTTTTTCAAAATTTCAAAATTTTCAAAATTTCTAATTCTGAAATTTTCCATTCTCCAGACTGGCTCGATTCTGATGGATTTCCATTTCGATTTCTATTTGAATTGCTAGAATTGTTAGATCGATCCTTGTCGATTCAATCAAATACAAAGAACCCTTCAGGAATCCCCTCGCCTCAGCTTTTCTTTTTGTCAGTTGTTCACTCACTTATCCATCGATTTTGGCTGTTCAAACGATCACTTTCGGCGAGTGAGTGACTCTAAAAATTTCTCATCTATCAACCCTATCAATCTTTTCATCTATATTCTCATTTTCAGATACATTGTCAACGGTTTCCACAAGTTTATCCACGTCTCGCCGAATTGGGAACCGATTCTAAAGCGTTTAATCGGTTTCTCCGTGCTTTGTGAGTGATTGTCGGATGAAAAAACTTTTCCTTGAAACTTTCCTTGAAACTTTCCCCCTTTCTGATCCCAAGCAAAAGTCTCATTTGTCTTCAAAACGACTTTAAAGCTAATGATTAAAGCTAAATGATTAAAGCTCTAGTTCAATATAGTACAGCTTTGTTTCAATCTGGTCCAGCTTTGTTTCAATCAAGTCCAGCTTTGCTTCAATCTAGTCCAGCTTTGCTTCAATCTAGTACAGCTCTGATTCCAATCTAGTACAGCTTTGCTTCAATCTAGTACAACTTTGTTTCAATCAAGTCCAGCTTTGCTTCAATCTAGTCCAGCTTTGCTTCAATCTAGTACAGCTTTGCTTCAATCTCCTTTGGTTTGTTCATTCATTATTCATTCATAATCGACTCAAATCCATAATCACCTACAGCCGATTTAGAAGGAAAGCCAGTAAAGCCGTAAAGCCATAAAGCCGGCAATTTTTTTTAAACAAAACTCACAAATTTTCCATACCAATGAGGAGCTTTTAAGTGACTAGAAAAAAAATGATTTAAGATTTAAGAAAAACTAGAAAATGAAGATTGTCCCCAAGAAGATTTCAGATTGTCCCCAGGCATCAAAAGGGTTACTCTAGAAAGGTTTTTTGCCAATTTCATTCATCATCAGCAACATCACTCAAATGCTAGTAGCGCAAATGCTAAGTAGAGTTGTGATTAAAATTAGAACTTAAAACAAGGACCTTTTGTTAGATTGTGTTTACAATTGTCGATGAATTCTGGCTACAATTGTCGATGAATTCTGGCTACAATTGTCGATCAATTCTGGCTACAATTGTCGATCAATTCTGGCTACAATTGTCGATGAATTCTGGCTACAATTGTCGATGAATTCTGGCTAGAATTGTCGATCAATTCTGGCTACAATTGTCGATGAATTCTGGCTACAATTGTCGATCAATTCTGGCTACAATTGTCGATGAATTCTGGCTACAATTGTCGATCAATTCTGGCTACAATTGTCGATCAATTCTGGCTACAATTGTCGATGAATTCTGGCTACAATTGTCGATGAATTCTGGCTAGAATTGTCGATCAATTCTGGCTACAATTGTCGATGAATTCTGGCTACAATTGTCGATCAATTCTGGCTACAATTGTCGATGAATTCTGGCTACAATTGTCGATGAATTCTGGCTAGAATTGTCGATCAATTCTGGCTACAATTGTCGATGAATTCTGGCTACAATTGTCGATCAATTCTGGCTACAATTGTCGATGAATTCTGGCTACAATTGTCGATCTTTCACTGTCGATTACAATTTCATTCCCCCAAATGCTCATAAGTCATAAGAATTTCTATGAAAAGCCATTTATTGTCATTTATCGGATCGATTACATTTCCAGTGCCGTTGATGGGAGTGAATTTCCTCTCGTTGCGTCGTGTGGCGGCTCGTTTTCAAATCGTGGCCACTGCCGCGAAATTGTTGGTCATTTGTGTCATTGTCATTACTGGTTTTTACCATTTAATTTTTAAAGGTAAGGATTTTTAAAAAAAAAAAAAGTTTTTAAAAGAACTTCTATAGACATTTGCATCTAGGCGAAACGCAAAATTTCGATTCGAAAACGATTTTTGACGGCACAACAAAAGAGTCGGGTGAGTGGAGATTACTGTAGGTGAATTGTATGCTAATTTGGTTACTGTAGTTCTACTGGTTGCTGTAGTTCTACTGGTTGCTGTAGTTCTACTGGTTACTGTAGCTCTACTGGTTACTGTAGTTCTACTGGTTACTGTAGCTCTATTGGTTACTGTAGACGGGTGGATTGTATGCAAATTTGGTTACTGTAGCTCTGGAGTACTGTAATTGTTCTATAGTTCAGATTGTAGGCCAAATAGATGAATTGGAGTACTGTAGAGGGCAAAGAAGGGCACTGTAGCTAGGATTACATCGTTTTCCAGCTGCGAATGGCTCTGTAGCTAGGATTACATCGTTTTCCGGCTACTGTACCCCCTTCTCATCTCCCTTCACTATAATTCAATCGTTTGCGACTTTCCTACTGTTAAAGTACCCTTAGAAAAGCTAGAGGATTACGGTAGCTTTTTTTACTGTTGTATGAGAAAAAGAAGTGTACTTTGTACTCTCAAAAAGTGCTTGTAAACGAAAGTTTTCTCGTGCATTTAAACTCGAAAAGAAATCTCGCGTATTTCCTTTCATAAAAATGCACTTTGATTCGACTAGAAAATCCTAAGTTTCAACGAATTTAAATATCGTAAATACTGTAAATACTGTAAATACTGTAATAGTACCCCACCGCCCCATAATGACGGTGCGGAGTGGTTGCGTCGTCTAGCTTTGAACGAGATTTTTCTCGACACTCGTTTATGCTACAATACTCGTTTAGGTATCAAAAAATAGCCCTGAAATTCAGCTATTTTTTGATACCAAAGACGCATTTTTTGAAAGTACGGGCGCTTTGAAAAAAATGAAATGCTAAAAAACTAAAAAACTAAAAAACTAAAAAACTAAAAAACTAAAAAACTAAAGAAAACTTTTGCGACTACGCGACTGTACGAGGGCGGTGGGGTACTATTACAGTATTTACGGTAGATTAAAGTAGATTACGGTAGATTTACGGTAGATTTACGGTAGATTAAATTTAAAACAAATAAACACTTCAAATTCGTGGATTTTTACAAAAAGAAAATGATCATTTTGAACTTTTCGATTGCATAAGCAAAAAAGCTTATCA